GCCCAAGGCCCAAGCTGCCTGTTGTCACCCCCTCCTGTCTCCCCCTCGGGGTGGGGTGTTTTGAGGGCAGGATGCGTGTGCCTGGGTTGAGGGGGGGGTCACGGCTGGGGGTCCCACGGGGCTTTCACCTTCTCTTCCAGAGCAAGCTGGTCAAGTACTTCAGCCGGCAGCTGTCCTGCAAGAGGAAGGTGGCCTTGCAGGAGCGTAATGCCAAGCTGGAGGGCTTCCCCCAGCTCCTGCACTGGTTCCGCATCGTTGACATCCGCAAGGAGGTGATGGAGGTAAGGGCCGGCCATCGAGTGTGCTGGTGTGGGAAGGGAAGGGCCCTGCTGTGGGTTTGGGTGCTGAACCTCTCCGGTAGCGTTTTGCCCAGGGGGTTGTGGGATCCTGGAGCAAAACTAGGCAAGGGGGGTGGTTTTTTCTGAGATGGAGACTGGCTTGAAGCCATGGGTTTGGGCCCCGGGGGCAGGCTGGAGGGGACGGTGCTGGTGGTGGGGAACAGGGTGGGAGACCAGAGCAGAGGGACCAGGTTGTTTTACTGCATGGAAAGATGCTGCAAGCCTGTGGTGGGACGTGCTGGCCAGGGTCACCCCACAACTCTCCTCCACCCACCCGTGGGGACACCCCATTGCTGTTCCCAGTGAAGGACGTGGGTGGCAGGGGGACCTCGTGGGTGCTGCCCCCACCCCCAGTGGGGGTCCCCCATGTCCCTGTCACAGCGTGGTAGTGCCACGACAGGTCGTAGCATCCCTCTGCCATGTCCTGGGCTCCTGCAGGCGATGGGCGCAATGAGGGGGTGGCACCCCGAGGTGCTCCCATAACAGGCCTCCCCCCCCCCGCCCCGGGTAAGAGGAAAGCCTGTGCCGAAGCTGCCAGTCCCCATGTGCGCTCAGGGCAGGGGCAGGTTTTCATGGTGCCCCCAGATGTCCCAGTCTTGAGCTGGGTTTTGATATGCCTCAGACTCTGCAAAAACTTGAGATAAAGCTGAGGCTCAAGCTGTGCCCTCCGGGTTTTCATGTGGACTGAGATGGGAAATGAGTGGTTTCGGGTCTGTGACCCGAATGGGGCAGCAGGAGGGAACGGCTTCTCACCTGCGTGCCCTGAGGTGCTGGTTTAGAGGATGCTCCAGGATGGTTTATTCCTCCCTCCTCACTCCTGCCCCATTCCTCCCATCAGGAAATTGCCCCCGGGCAGCTGAGCCTGGAGGAGCTGCTGGACATGACCGACGACCAGGTCTGTGAGACTGTGGAGAAGTTTGGGGCCAACAGCGAGGAGTGTGCCCGCCTGAACGCCTCCCTCTCCTGCCTCCGCAGCGTCCACAAGTCCGGTGAGTCAGGCACCCTTGTACCTGCTGGCTGGGAACCCTCGAGCCGGTTGGGGTGAGTGGCACCGTCCCGTTGCGGTGACACCGGGAGCATGGCTCTAATGCATTGGAGGCGTTTGCAGAGTCTTCTCCATGGGTTGCAGAGTTCCTCTGTCCCTGGGGGATGGCCGGGTGCCCACTGCCCGCAAGGGACGTCTTTGCTCTGGTGCATCCCTGGGGCTCGGGAGCACATGGGGGGCTCGCTTCTCTGGGAAGCGATGAGTTGTTAGTTCTCTGCAGGGAGGCTTTGCCCAGGGAGGGCGCAGCATTTCTTACAGGGTCCCCCCCGACCCCTCTTGCTTGCAGGAGCACAGCCAGCAGACTCAGGAAAAGTCCCTGAGACTCAGCAAGCTCCTGCCACTCAGCATCGCTTCCCGGCTGGCTGCACCCCCACAACCCAAAACCCCTTCCCAGAGCGTGCACAAGCCCTGCTTCCCCTTTCCCCGGGGGTGGGTGCATGGGTGCCTCTCCGCAGCGGACGCCCCGGGGGATGCTGGCGGCCCCAGGCGAGGGTGCTGGGGTGCAGGTGCTGAGCTGGCGGGTCCCCGGGCGGTGGCAGCAGAGCTCCGTGCTGCAGAGGCAGCTGAAGGAAGCGGGA